CCAGGCGCGCCGCGGCTCCCGAACCCGCTGCCGGTCGCGGGCTGGGAGACGCCCGCAACTTTCCCGGTTTCCAGCGCTCCAATTCCCCCAGACTTACCCTGTCACAACAGGCGCCATCTTCCACAAACTCTCGCCAAAACTCCAACCCTCGCGAGATTCCCCCCGACGCCTTCCCTAGTCCCTCTCCCCCGCCCCTTCCCTTTTTCCTCACTCCTCGATTCCCCCCAGTCCCCGCGCTCCTTCTGCCCTCGCAGCCGCCGCGAAGAGCCAGACGCCTCGCGCCGCGCGCGAAGTAGGGGATCCTGCTCTCTGCCTTCCCTGGAAACCTACCCAAGCGATGGAGCATGCGCAGGCGGCTCCTCCGCGGGCGAGCCCTCCGTGTGGTCCATGGGGAGCACTCCGGTTATCCGGGTTTTCAGACGCGCCCTGAGGGACGTACGTGGAGACTGAGGAAAACCGGAGGGGATTACAACGGGGACGGGGAATGGAGGGGTCAGGAGGCGGGGCCGAGGGGAAGGGAGGAGGGGTCCTGGGAAAATCTGCCGCGTTTCACAGGCCTAGATGAAACACCTCCTCAAATGGGTGTTTTCCAAGTGCCTTCCCGCTCACTCTGGTTCCCAGCCCTTTTCATTCATTCAAACGTTCATTGGACGTCTCCTTTATGCTAATGTCAGTGTTAGGTGCTAGAGCTACTGATGCCTGGATTTCAGGCGAGTGAGCAAACCAGGAACTATCTTCGTTCATTCGACCCCATGCTAGCGGAGAGATGGACACGAGTACAATGTGGTTCGACCCTCCAGAACTATGTAAAGGGAAAACTTTTGCAGTTGAGCTCTATCTCCTTAGCTTTTTTCTTGGGCGTGAAATGAGGTCAGGCCAAGGCCTCTGGCAAAGACGTTCCTAATGTCCACCTCGCGTACACACGCCAGAGTGCCGCGTAGTTTTTCTCCTGAGGTGAAAAATGCGTCGGACTTGAGAGCCTCCAATCCCCAGCCAGAGGTCCCCCTTGGGCAGAGCTGCCTACTGTGTGAGCCTCTCTAGAACCTCACTGCGGCCCCCAGCCGTGTGTGAACATAGGTTGTACATAGGAACGGACTCTGCCCAGGCCATCCCATGGGGCTGGCACAATTGAGAACGCTGATCGCTGCCGAAGATTTACTTTAGGTGACCTAAGCCTTGAAGCCCCCGAGCAAACTTGGCCCAACTGGGCATTTAACAAGAAGATGCATAGCCCGAACCCCACCCCCCTACCTGCGGCACCCCTTTCTCCCGCCCCCCCCACCCCCATCCTTTCAATTCCTAGAGATTCCCAGAACCAGCACTGCCTCCCGCAGGGAGCCCCAAAACCCGGAGAACTGGAATCCGCTGCCTGAAACCTACTGAACGCGCTGCAGGACTGGCGCGGCACGCGCGAACAATACTGCGCATGTGCTCAATGCGGGCAGCCCAGTCTCACGCTACACCTCCTTCCCACCGCCTTCCAGTACTCGACTCAGACACAACACGGGCCGTGGGAAATTTTGTAAACCTCGCGAGAACGCGCCTGTTGTCTATGCTTTTGCCCCAAATCTCGCGGAGTCCAGGCGGGACAGGTGTTTGTCTAGTGCAGCTCCGGGCGCTGTTCGTGCCGCGCGTGCCCGGGCGGCTGGCGGCGGGCGGCGTGCGCGGGCGGGGTGGGAAGGGAGCGGCTCCGCGTGGAGGCGGGGCGGCTGGGCGCGTGGCTGAGAGTGCCGAGAGGAGGGAGGCCCGGACTGGGCTCGAGGGCCTGCACACACAAAGCGTTAAGCTTCGTGAAAGAAAACTAGGTCCGGAGCGGGAGGGTCTAATGGAAGAAGGAGAAGCCAGGAGATTAGAAACTCCTCCTGATGTGGATAGTAAGAGGTCAAACTCTAGGGTAGGAGGAGCCCCAGGCCTATCCCCTGGGGAGGTTTCCTGTCGCCCTACACGAGCCTGGTACTTTCCTAAAATGTGTTAGACGCCGCGTCTCGGCCTCCGGGCGCTGACAGCCCCCAGTGTCGGCTTTGAGTCATGCCTCTGAGTCACGTAGTCTGGCCATCACTTCGCTTTTAAACAAGTCCGGATTCTCGTAGCTACTCTCTTCTAGCAACTGGGTTTTTTCTATCTGATCTACCCGCTGGCCTCGCAAGTTAGGTATAGGAAAAGCTGCTTCCTGCGCTCTTGCGCTGTTACCTTTATACAGATTCTGCCTCCCATCCAAGGACACATTTTTTAAAATTTCTTCCCCGCTATTCTCTTTCTAGCTTTTTAAAGTGATCCCTATATAAGTTTCTGTTCTTTTTTTTTTTTTTCCTGCCCTCCCACTAATACGATTTAAAATACTGGTTTTGCTTTTTTTAACCTTTCTATTTGTTGAAATATTCTTTCCATTTTAAGTATTATTTCATCAGATCTTTTAGTGACAACTGTTTTAAGTGCATCCCTTCTTTTTGGATTATTTGTCCAGTAAATTCCAGGTTACACTTTCTCCAGTCAGGCCCATTTCACATTGCTCTGATGTAGTATCTGTAGCTTAGCTTAGCATTGTCTAGGAACTGGTGTCTTAGTGACATCATAGACCCACAAATGTAGAATAGAATTCAGTTTTGATTTTTGGAAGACAGTGAATCCTCTGGGGCTCCTGTTCTGGTTATATAATGAACAAAATTGAAGTTGTTCAGTTGTTTTCAAGGTTGTGTGCGGGCATGTGTGCATTTACCTATCCCTTTAAGTATTTCACACAGCAAAAGAGAAGATATAAGGACTTTTAATACAGTATCTCAGTATAAGTCTGATTTGGAATAGGATTGCTCAGAAGGAGGACAATATCCATGGGCAGACAGACATTCCTTTGAGCCTTCATCCCAAGAAGGCGTTTCAATCATTTTCTAGTCTAGGCCACTAATCTAATTTGGAACCATGGCCATCTGAGGACCCCAGCCATGGAAAGCCAAAGCAAGCACAAGTCAAATCACAACTCATCTTGGTCCTAAAACATGTTCTGCTTGCATTCTTTCCCCATCTCAGTAAATGACAACTGTCCTTCCACTAAGTTAAGCCAAGAACCTTGGAGTCATTCTTGCCTTCTTTTCCTTTCACATCCACATCCAATCTAACAAAATCATGCTGGCTCCACTTTCAAAATAAGGCCCACAGTCCAAATAATTCCACACCTCTATGGCTACCAGCCCAGTCTAACCCATCTCATTTCTCACCTGGTTTACAGGAAGTCTCCTAAATGGTTCTCCCTTCTTCCATTCTTGCTTCTCTCACTCTCTCTGTTCTCAATAGAGCATTCACAGTAACCCTATAGAACTTGCCAATGGTTTTCCCATTTCACCATGAGGACCTATGCAATCTGGCCTGCCACCCAAACACCTGACCTTCCTAACATCACCTCTTCTTCCTCTTTTTCTTGCTTACTGAGGTCTAAACCAGCAGGCTGCCTTGCTGTTCCTAAAACATAATGACTTCTACCTTTCCTCTTTCC